TTATTTATTTATTTATTTATTTATTTGACAGAGACAGTGAGAGAGGGAACACAAGCAGGGGGAGTGGGAGAGGGAGAAGCAGGCTTCCAGCTGAGCAGGGAGCCCAATGCGGGGCTCGATCCCAGGACCCTGGGATCATGACCTGAGCTGAAGGCAGATGCTTAAGGACTGAGCCACCCAGCACCCCAACGTAGGCCTACCTTAAGAAACAAGAAAAATCTGAAATAAACAGCTTAACCTTGTATCTAAAGGGGCTAGAAAAAAAAAAAAAGCCCAAAGCTAGTAGAAAGAAAGGAATAATAAAGATTACAGCAGAAATAAATGAAATAGAGACTAGACAAATCAATAGTAAAGATCAATGAAACAAAGATCTGGCTCTTTGTAATGGTCAACAAAGTTAAAAAAAAAAATCAACAAAGTTGATAGACCCTTAGCCAGACTCATCACGAAAAAAGAAAGAACTCAAATGAAATTAGAAGTGAAGGAGGAGAAATAATAACACAGCAATACAAAAAACTATAGGTGAATATTATGAAAAATTATAGGACAAATTGGAAAATCTAAAATAACTAGATAAATTTCTAGTAAAATATCATCTTCTAAAACTGAATCAGGAAGAAATAGAAAATTTGAACAGAGTGATTACTAGCCATGAAATTGAATCAGAATTAAAAACTCCCAGCAAACAAAAGCTCAGGACAAGATGGCGTCGTAGGTGAATTCTACCAAACATTTAAAGGGTTAATAACTATTCTTCTGAAAGTATTCAGGAAAAAGAAGAAGGGGGAGAAGGGGAAGAGGAGGAAAACTTCCAAATTCATTATACAAGGCCAGCATTACCCTGATACCAAAACCAGACAAAGACAGTGCAAACAAAAAGAAAACTATAGGCCAATATCTCTGATGAACGAAGATGTAAAATCTTCAATAAAATATTAGCAAACAGGGGACACCTGGGTGGCTCAGTTTGATTAAGCGCCTGCCTTCAACTCAGGTCATGATCCCAGAGTCCTGGGATTGAGCCCTGTGTCAGGCTCCCTAATCAGTGGGGAGCCTGCTTCTCACTCTCCCTCTTCCTCTTCCCCTTCTGGTTCTCTCTCTCTCTCTCTCTCTCTCTCTCTCTCGTGCTTGCTGTCTCTCTCTCTCTCAAACAAATAAAATTTTTAATAAAAAAATATTAGCAAACAGGATTTGACAATACATTACAAAAATCACTCACCACAATAAATTGGGATTTATTCCAGGGATGCAAGACTGGTTCAATATTTGCAAATCAATCAGTATAATACATCATATTAACAAGAGAAAGGATAAAAACCATATGATCATCTCAATAGATGCCAAAAAAACATTGACAAAGGACAACATCCATTCATGACAAAAAACTCTCAACAAACTTAGGTTTAGAGGGAACATACTTCAACATAATAAAGAACATATGTGAAAATCCCTCAGCTAACATCATACTCAGTTGTGAAAAACTGACAGCTTTTCCCCTAAGATCAAGGACAAGACACAGATGTCCACCCACCACTTCTATTCAGCATGATACTGGAAGTTCTAGCTGCAGCAATCAGACAAAAATAAAAGGCATACAAATTGATAAGGAAGAAGTAAAACTTTCGCTATTTGCAGATGACATGATACTATATATAAAAAACCCTTAAGACTCCACCAAAAAAAAAAAAAAAAACTATTAGAACTGATGAATTCAGTAAAGTTGCAGGATACAAAATTATGTAAAGAAATCTGTTGCATTTCTATACACTAATTACAAAGTAGAAGAAAGAGAAATTAAGAATACAGTCCCATTTACAATTGCACTAAAAAGAATTAAATACCTAGGAATAAACTTAAGAAGGTGAAAGACCTGCACTCTGAAAACTGTAAAACATTGATGAAGGACATTGATGATGATACAAATACATGGAAAGATATTTATGCTCATAGAAGAATTAGTACTGTAAAAATGTGCATACAACCCAGAGCCCTCTACAGATTCAATGCAATCCCTATCAAAACGCCAATGGCATTTTTCACAGAAATAGAACAAAGAATTTCTAAATTTGTGTGGAACCACAAAATATCCCAAACAGCCAAAGCAATCTTGAGGAAGAACAAAGCTGAAGGTATCACCTTCCCAGATTTCAAGATATATTACAAAGCTGTAGTAATCAAAACAGTATGGTACTGTCACAGAAATAGACACATGGATAAATCAAAAAGAATAGAGAACCCAGACATAAGCCCATGCTTATATGGTCAATTAATCTACAACAAAGGATGCAAGAATATACAATGGGGAAAAGACAGTCTCTTCAATAAATGGTGTTGGGAAAACTGGATAGCTACATGCAAAAGAATGAAACTAGACCACTTTCATATACCATACACAAAAAATAAACTCAAAATGGATTAAGGGCCTAAATATGAGACCTGAAACCATAGAATTCCTAAAAGAAAACATAGGCAATAATTTCCTTGACATCAGCCGTAGAAACACTTTTTTAGATATGTCTCCTTAGGCAACAGACACAAAAACAAAAATAAATTATTGAGACTACACCAAAATAAAAAGCTTTTGCACTATCAAAAAGGCAACCTACTGAATGGGAGAAGATACTTGCAAATGACATATACAATAAGGGTTAATATCCAAAATATATAAAGAACTTATACAATATCAAAAAAACAGTGCAATCAAAAGAATGGTCAGAGGACCTGTGTAGACATCTTTCAAAGAAGACCTACAGATGGCCAACAGACACGTGAAAAGATGCTCAACATCACTAATCAACAGGGAAATGCAAATCAAAACCATAATGAGATATTTATTACCTGACACCTATCAGAATGCCTAGAATAAAAAAGAAGAAATAACAAGTATTGGTGAGGATGTGGAGAAAAAAGAAACCTATGCACTGTTGGTGGAAATGAAAATTAGTGCAACCAGTCTGGAAAACAGTATGGAGTTTCCTCAAAAAATTAAAAATAGAAATACTGTATGACCCCATAATTCCACTACTGGGTATTTACCCAAAGAAAATAACAACACTAATTTGAAAAGATATACGCACCCCTATGTTTATTGCAGCATTGTTTACAATAGCCATATGTGGAAGCAACTTAAGTGTCCATTGTAAAATGAATGGATAAAGAAGGTGTAGTGTATTTACACACACAATGGAGTATTACCCATAAAAAAGAACAAAATGTCGCCATTTGCAACACTTCTAAGACCTAAAGAGTATAATGCTAAGTTAAATAAGTCAGAGAAAGACAAATAAGTGATTTCACTTATATGTGGAATCTGAGAAATAAGAAAAATGAACAGAGACAGACTCTGAAATTCAGAGAACAGGTGGTTGCCAGAGGAAAGGTGGGTGGGGAATGGGTGAACTAAAAGGGATTTAGAGTATAAACATCCAGTTATAAAATAAATAAGTCACAGAGATGAAAAGTACATAGGGCACATAGTCAACAAGATTATAACAACATTGTTTGGTGACAGATGGTGATTATACTCATCGTGCGTGGTAGGCACTGAATAATGTATAGAATTGTTGAATCATTATGTTGTACACCTGAAACTAATATAACACTATATGTTACTTGTACTTCAATTTAAAAAGTCTAGAATCTAGAGAAGCTAAGATTTGAACTCAAGTCTTGTGATGCTACAGACCTCATATCTAACCACAATACAAGAGAACCTATATTCTTGACTTGTGCTAAGAGGTGAAATAGTATCTTTATTCCACATTTAGAAGTAAGGTATTCTGGGAAGTGCTTATATTTTATTTCATTTATATATAACTTGGACTGTTTTGGTTTATAAAAAGGGAGTTGGGCAGGAGAAGATGATCTATAAACTTCTCAGCCCAGTTAACGTAAGCATGAGGTTTAGTTTGACTTTTCACATGGGCAGCCATTTCTTTATCTCTCTGCCTACCTGTCAGTCACTTTCATGATGGAGACAGGAGGAGCTATTATTTACATCAGGCATATTTTTAAACATAAGCGACATTGGCTGAGGGAGTATTTGATCTCTTTGAGTAAGTCCATTTTAGGCTCACATTGCCTCTCTGCTTTTTCAATTTTCAGTGAACTTTACTGGAATAAATGCAAAGCAACAAAAGGTATTTAATGAAGGATACTAGTGAAGACCTGAGTTCAAGTTGAGTTTTATGGTATCTTATTTCTAAGGAGAGAGATCTAGGAAATTTATGGATCATGTATTTGATTCTCTCTCTCTCTACATATATATATAGTGATATATATATAGTGATATATATATATAGGTAATATATATTTATATAGTTATATATATTTATATAGTTTCAATTTTGAAATTTCAGAAAATAATTTCTTTGCCATCATTTAAAAATAAATTATAAAATATGTATGCTTTTACATTATAAATGGTTATATAAGTTAACTTACAAAAAAAGTAAAACATAACTACCCAATAAAAAGTGCTTTTAATATTTTGTTGGATTTTCTTCAATCTTTTTAGCTTTGCATCTGAATAATACATTGGTTATGTCCATAATATATACAACTTTATATCTTTCTAAACATGCTATTATAAATAGGTTCTCATTTTGTTATATAATTCTCATGCTATAGTAAATACATATCTTCATAATAATCTATTGAATAGATTAATTATAATTTTCATCTTCTATTGAACAGTTAGGTTAACAATTTCTTTTACTGCTATCATTGATGCTTTGAAAAACATCTTTGGATGATAGTTTTGGACTACTTCCTGGATAGTAAATTACTTGGGCAAAAAATTTGTACATTTTTAGTGTTAACAACACCACAATATTTCTGCAAAGGTACTATATAGTTTAGAATGCCAGAAGTAATATTAAGGAGTGCCACTTTTACAACATTCTTACCAGTATTATACATAAGATGTTTTTAAAGTGTGCTTAATTTTTAAAAAGTAAAAACTAGTACCTCATCATATTCCTTTTGTTCTTCCCATTTAGAGTGAAGAAGGAGGCCCACAGGAAGGAATTCTGGAAGATATGCCTGTTGATCCTGACAATGAGGCATATGAAATGCCTTCTGAGGTAAAATTTTATATACCTACAACTCTAAAAATAAACTTCAGGACTTCAAGTTGGGTCTTTTTAATAAGCAGTACCAAAAATCTGTCACTGTCAGATTTTCCTTCCATGGGTCCTTAATGAAAGTGATTTACTCTCTAGCGGGACAAATTGGCCAAATCCCAAATATTTATTGTGCAGACAACTTGAAAGCTAGAAGTGGTTTTTACATTTGTAAAGTGTTGTTTAAAAAAAAAAAAAAGCAACAGAGATACTCTGTGGTTCACACAACCTAATATATGTACTTAATGACCCTTTACAGAAAGTGTTTGCTGATCCCTGCATTAGAAAATTATTTTATTAAAAACTTTACTTTCTAAAATAAATCCCCAAATGGAAAGTTGGAGAAATCAACTGAATGCCTCAAGTAATTATTATTTGCCATACATTTCCAGCAAGATATTTCCATGGTAAAATAAAAGTTACCCACAAAAATTATAGAGTAGAAATATGATAAATGCATGGTTTGCAGGAACTGATGTACTTCAATCTAGCCTTTTGATGATTAATTTTAATTTGAAAATAAGTTTCTTTAAAAGAAAATGTATCTTAAGGAAAATTTAAAAATACTTTTAAATGAATGCAGCTGACTCAAGAAGAAATAGAAAATCTGAATAGACCTATAACAAAGTAAAGAGACTGGATTATTGTTAAAAAAAAATCTACCCACAAAGAAAATCCCAGGACCAGACAGCTTCACTGATGAATTCTACCAAACACTTAAGGAATAATTAATAACTATTAATTACAATTAATACCAATTAATTTCTCTTAAAAAAAAAAAAGAGGAACGATTACTTCCCAACTAATTCCATGAGGACAGTATTACCCTTATACCGGTACCAGACATCACAAAGAAGATGTATTATTCATTAAAAATTAAGTTAAAATGTCTTTAGTTAGGTTATATATTATTCTTCATGGCATCAGTTAAAGGCATAGTGATAATCCCATTTATAGAAATTGAGATTAAATTGTTTCTTAGATTTTACCAAAATTTTTGAATCTTTTTATGCACAGCACAATGCTAAATACTATAGAAAATACAAGAAGTTTAATTGATAGTACCAGGACACAAGAAGTTTACATTCTAATGATTTGATAAAAACAAATACAAATTTGCTCCTTCATTTGTTTCATGATGATTCCTTCAAACATTATTGACTGTCTTCTATGTATCAGGCATCACAGAAGCAAAAATATTCAAGATACACAAAAAAAGTATATTTTACAGGATCTGGTTAGAGTGATCAGGACTTTTTTAGAAGAGTTGGTGTTGATCTGTGTGTGTGGGGGGGGATGGGAGATATGATAGACCAAAATGAAAGAAAGACATTCTAGCCCAAGGTAATATCAGAAGCAAAGGCATGCATGTCTAAACATGCATAAAGATATGTCTGAGGAACAGTGAGTAATTAAATAGGATTTGAGGTTAGGGAACAGAGACTAGTGACATATTAAGGCTGCAGAGATGGGTCAAAGAAAAGTTGTAGAATACTAGAAGAACCTTTCCATTTAAGTTTGTACTATATTCAGAAAGCAACTTGAGCTATTGAAGGTACATTTGTTCATTTTAAAGCAGGATCCTAATTAGAGTTGTTCTTTAGGACTAATCTGACTACTTTAGTTAAGATCTTTAATATTTTTATTGTAGGTGCTATCCATATATTGTATGGGGAGAGGGGGGCTTAGAATAAAAGTAATAATTGAAGCCATGGATGAAGAAGACATTTTCATTGAGAAGCAAAAGGAAAGAAAATGTCACTTGCCTTTAAATGTCTTTGTCTCGTTTTAAAAATTAGAGGATCTCAGCCCTTGAAGAGGCTTTTTAAGCCACTTAATTTGTCTCTCAAAATTTACAGTTGAGGAAACTGGGAGCAATATAGACCAACTAACTTATCCTACAGGACTAGAACATATGACTGTTAAATGTCATCTGAAAGTTAAATTCAGATACCTGAACTCTGAGCAGCATAATTCACTTTTATATTTGACAGGAAGACAAAATTATTAAAGATGAAAGTATACTGTGTGTAACTGAATAGTTGCAGAGCTGTTATGAGTATAACCTTCATTCAAGGTGGTGAGCCGTGTCCTATCTCATTCACCCTAAATCCTTCATTACTGATGACTAAAACTAATAATACTGCATGTTTTCTTTCTGGTTTTCTTCATATTAGGAAGGGTATCAAGACTATGAACCCGAAGCCTAAGAAATACTTTTGCTCCCAGTTTCTTGAGACCTACTGAAAGATGTTCCATCCTGTACAAGTGCTCAGTTCCAACATGCCCAGTCATGATATTTTCTCAACGTTTTTACAGTGTATTTTAAACTCTCCCATCAGCCGTGATTGAAGTTCTCTGTACCCGCCCCTACTCAGCATTTCAGTGCTTCCCTCTCACTGAAGTGATTATACGGTAGCAGGGTCCTTGTGTGCTCTGTGATACTGTGGCTTCAGACCTAAAATGTTACATTAAAACACCTAAGTGACTACCACTTATTTCTAAATCCTCACTATTTTTGTTGCTGTTATTGAGAAGCTGTGATTTACTATCGTATACTATAAGATTTCTAGGTGTCTTTTAATGATTATTTCTGTTTAAAAATAATGATGTGTTGTGAAATTTGTTAATATATATAATACTTTAAAACGTGAGCATGAAACTATGCACCTATAAATATTAACTATGAACTTTTACTGTTTTGTGATGTGTTTTATTAACTTGTGTTTATATATAAATGGTGAAATTAAAATGTTATCTCATTATAAAAATAGTAATCCCATCTCACTTTAATAATAAAATCATGCTTATAACCATATGAACTGAAAACTGACAAAATTAAAGTTCTTGACGGCCATTTGAAGGAGAAGGAATTTTAAAAGAATTAAGCAGACAAGACGGAACATTAACCCTTTACTCTGGGAATTCACTGAAGCAACACTACCCAAAGTATCTTCTGATATGCAGTGGTGTCTTAAGAAGCTATTCAGAAAAAAATGGGTTCCATGGAACAGTAAGTTTAACAAAGGATTTTGACTATGTCTGCTTCAAGTATTAATAAAACATATTAGAGAGAATCTGGTTAACTTTGTTTAACCCAGCATTTTATTTTTATTTTTTAAATCAAATCTCACCACCATCAGCCTCGGAAATGTCTTTAAACATTTCTGGGACCTACCAAACCATTACCTTAAGAAATGTCAATTTAAATGGATACATTCCTAGAAATATGTCTTTCAAAACGGAATCAGGAAGAAATAGAAAATTTGAAAAAAAATAATTACCAGCAATGAAACTGAATTAGTAATCAAAAAACTCCCAACAAATAAAAGTCCAGGACCAGATAACTTGACAGAGGAATTTTACCAAATATTTAAAGAAGAGCTAATAATTGTTCTTCTCAAACTGTTCCAAAAAACAGAAGAGGAAGGAAAGCTTCTAAGTTCATTCTGTGAGGTCAGGATTACCAATACCAAAACCAGACAAAGACACGGCAAAAAAAAGAAAATTACAGGCCAATATCTCTGATGAACATAGATGTAAAATCCTCAATACAATATTAGCAAACAGAACTTGGCAATACTTTACAAAAATCATTCACCACACTAAATCGTGATTTATTCCAGGGATGCAAGAGTGGTTCGGTATCTGCAAATCAATCAGTGTGATACATCACATTAATAAGAGATGGGATAACCGTATGATCATCTCAATAGATTCAGAAAAAGCATTGATAAACTATAACATCCATTCATGCTAAAAACCCTCTGCAAAGTTGGTCTAGAGGGAACATATTTCAACATAATAAAGGACATATGTGAAAATCCCTCAGCTAACATCATACTCACTTGTGAAAAACTGACAGCTTTTCCCCTAAGATCAAGGACAAGACACAGATGTCCACCCACCACTTCTATTCAGCATGATACCGGAAGTTCTAGCTGCAGCAATCAGACAAGAAAAATAAAAGGCATACAAATTGATAAGGAAGAAGTAAAACTTTGACTATTTGCAAATGACATGATACTATATATAGAAAACCCTAAAGACGCCACCAAAAAAAAAAAAAAAAACCTCTTAGAACTGATAAATGAATTCAGTAAAGTTGCAGGATGCAAAATTATGCACAGAAATCTGTTGCATTTTTTTTACACTAAACAAAGTAGCAGAAAGAGAAATTGAGAAAACAATTTCATTTACAAATGCACCAAAAAGAATAAAATACCTAGACATAAATTTAACTGAGGAAATGAAAGACTGTACTCTGAAAACTTTAAGTCACTGAGGAAAGAAATTAAACATTACACAAATAAATGGAAAGATATATTGTGCTCATGAATTGGAAGAATTAATATTGTTAAAATGTCCATATTACCCAAAGCCCTCTACAGATTCAATACAATTCCCATCAAAACGCCAGTGGCATTTTTCACAGAACTAGAAGAAAGAAAGAAGCCTTAGATGTTTATGGAACACAAGTGACTCTGAATAGCCAAAGCAATCTTGAGAAATAAGAACAAAGCTGAAAGAATAATGCTCCCTGATTTCAAACTATATTACAAAACTGTAATAGTAACAACAGTATGGTATGGCACAAAAGCAGACAAATAGATCAATGGACTAGAATAGGCACCCCAGAAATAAACCCACGCTTATATAGTCAATTAACCTATGAGAAAGGAGGCAAGAATATATAGTGGGGAAAAAACTGTTTCTTTAATAGAGAAAACTGGACCACTATCTTAGAACATATAAAAAAGAAATTCAAAATGGACTGGAATGTAAGACCTGAAACCATAAAACTTCTAGAAGTAAACATAGGCAGTAATTTATTTGACACTGGTTTTAGCAATATATTTTTGGGCCACTTTCTTCGGGCAAGGGCAACAAAAGCAAAAATAAACTATTGAGACTACACAAAAATAAAAAGCTTTTACACAGTGAAGGAAACCATCAACAAAATGAAAAGGCAGCCCACTGAATGGGAGAAGATATTTGCAAATGATATATCTGATAAGGGGCTAATGTCCAAAATACATAAAGAACTTATACAATATCAAAAAAACAAAAACAAAAAACAGTGCAATCAAAAAAATAGGCAGAGGACCTGAATAGATATTTTCCAAAGAAGATATACAGACGGCCAGCAGACCCATGAAAACAATGCTCAACATCACTAATCAGGGAAATGTAAATCAAAACCATAATGAGATATTACCTGACACCTGTCAGAATGGCTGGGATCAAAAAGACAAGAAATAAAAAGTGTTGGTGAGGATGTGAAGAAAAAGGAACCCTTGTGCACTGTTGGTGAGAATGAAAATTAATTCAGGCAGTCTGGCAAACAGTATGGAGTTTTTTCAAAAAATTAAAAATAGAAATACCATATGATTTAGTAATTCCACTATTGTGTGGATTCAAAAAGATATATATACCTCTATGTTTATTACAGCATTATTTACAATGGCCAAGATATGGAAGCATTCCAAGTGTCCTTTGATAGATGAATTGACAAAGAAAATGTGGTATATGGAGTATTAGTTATAAAAAAGGATGAGATCTTGCCATTTGTGTCAGCATGTAGAGACCTAAAGCGTATTATGCTAAGTGAAGAAAGTAAGAGAAAGACTAATATCGTCTGATTTTACTTACATGAGGAATCTAAAAACAAACAAACAAACAAGCAAATGAAGAAACAAAAATACAGACTCAAATACAGAGAACAAACTGGTGGTTGCCAGAGGGGAGGTAGGTAAGGGAATGGGTGAAATAGATAAAAGAGATTATGAGGTACACACTTTGAGTTATAAAATAAATAAGTCATGGAGATGAAAGGTACAGCATACGGAATACAATTAATGGAAAAAAGGTTGATTTTCTAGATTCATAAAAATCTCATGAATTCCTTTAAATTCTGAATATATGAATCTCAGGATACTTTTTTAGGGATGGTTTTTCTATTTAGGAAAGATTCACTAACTCTCCATGGGTGCTGACAGTAAATTTGACTATGAAAACCCTACATAAATTAATTGAAAAATTATTTGGTTTATCTTTTTAATTATTCAGGAGAAAAATAGCAGTTACTTTTTAAAGTCACGAGTAGAAAGTATAATTTTAAGAAGATTCAGAGGTGCTAGGAAGTTTGTATGTAATTGTGAGTAATTTGATGTATATTGAGCATTGGCAAGGAAAGAAAAAGGAATGACTGCAATGACTATAAGCGTGATCACCATAGAAACTTTCTTTTTTGTCTAATTGGAAAGGGACCACGTTGAGTGTTAAACTGTCTGTGTAGTCTTAAACTGGAAAGAAGTGATAAGTTTCTTGTTTTATTTTGGTACATTAATGAGTATTCCTAATTAGGAAAACAGCTTGGAAAATTAAAATATCTTTGTTCAAAAAGTATTCTAGTACTAATACACACCAGTGGTGGTTATCTTGTGCCAAGCACTTAACAGAAAGTTATATAAGGCACACAAGTCTTTTCGGGAAGGTTATCTCATATCCACTGCTGAGGCATTCACCTGACAGGTAGCGTGAGGGTTAGTCTGGTTCTAGGTTTACTTTGCAGATATCATTCCCTCAAGTTTGAGTTATTCATCCCATATGACTCCATGGGAGCTTTAACAAAACGAGTCAGGGTGGGCTTTGGCACCCAGATGGCAACATGACAGTCTAATATGTGGTTTGGCCTTATAAGTTGGATTTTCAGAATCTCTCCCCTAGTGTGAGGGGCAAGATATGTTTACTCATCTTTCTGGCTCATGCAGTAGGCAACGATTGGATTAAACACACACACACATACACACATACCCCTCAAGGGCAACCATTAATTCTCAGAAATAGTGCTGTCTATATCCATACTGAGAAAGAAAAATGTTTTTCTAACAGCAAACTCTATAGACTCCTCTTCCAGTGCACTGACAGTATTCTGTTTTTATCTGGGATGAGTCATCTCACTGTTTTGTTTGTGTCTTGGGCAGGAGTGTGACAGGAATGGCATTTCCTTGTGAGTGCTGTCCCTGGCACTGGAAGACAAAATATGTTTTTTATTACTGTATCAAATACAGATATGTGATTTATCAATATTAGCTCATTTAATTCTCAAAACAACCCTAAGAAGTTCCATTATTATCCTCATTTTATACTTGAGCAAATTGAGGTTCCTGTGGACTAAGTAACTTTCTCAGAGCCTCATGGCTAGTAAGTAGCAGAGCCAGGAGTCCCAATTAACGTAGGGCCAGAGTCTGTGTTCCCCCCGAGTCCCCATTGTCTCTCCGAGTGAGGACATACAGCTATGTAAGAGAACCCTGCAGAAGTTTAGGGAATGGGATACTAGTCTAGCTTTTCTACATATAATTATTAGAGTATTTCTATTTTTCTTCAGATGTATATGTCTAGAATAAGTGATACTCATATAAATGGAGACATATTTCTAATTCTAGAA